CAATAACAATAATAATAACTACTATTTATTGAGTGCCAAATATATCTAACAACTGTGTGATGTGCATATATAGAGAGAGAGAATACATATATAAAATAATCATTTATGTGCTACATCATTTATACATTGTATTACCGAATCTTCAAATATAAAACTCAGGCTCAGAGAGGTTAAGTAATTTGCCCAGCCTTAAAAATTGTTAAACATTGTTGTCAGTCGTCTTAAGGTCAAAAACTCCACTCAGAATTTTATAAAATGGAGAAGAATGGTCTAGAAGGTTGGTGATTACTTACAGTTACAAAATACTAATAAGTGAGGTAACTCCCAGGAAGATATCTTGACATCAGTTCTGAGTAGTTATCAAAGTTTAACCAAATTATTTGTGCTTAGTCCTTTGTATCCTTGGTTAATGGTAGCATACTAATAGCAGTCTGTTCCTGATGTTGTTACTGGAGCAATTTAGCTTGGCTGTGAAGTATGGTGGGAAAAGGGGAAAAAAACTATTGAGTTAAACAAAGACAAAACGTGTCCAAATCCCAAACTTACCTCTTCCGAGCGCTCTGACTTTGTGCAGGTTGTTAGGCTCTCTGAGCTTCCGTTTTCTTACCTGAAAAATGCACATGATGATGATGATGATAGCACCCCCTCCCTCATAAGGTATTGGAGGAATGGATATAATGCCTAACACATTATAAGCCTAAATACATGTTGCATATTATTGGTTATTATAAATCCATTAGATTATCATGGCATCACCTTTCACCCATAGAATGGGTACAACTCTTGTACAATTGTACTTTTTAATTCTTTGGGAGAATGGGTATTTTTCTCTGGACCAAGATATCTCTCCAAAAAAAAGGTCCTGTGGAGTAAATGAGGTGTTAAGAATGCCATTGTCCATGTTCTTGTCCCTTTTATAACTAAAAGTAAAAAGCCAACCTTTTACAGAAGTACAATGCTAAATGACAGCCCAGCCCAAGGACCACTTGGCTAATGAGCATACTTGCATTCCAGGATTTCCTGACTCCCCGGTGCCACTTGTTGTCAGCTCCTTGAAGCTGCAGAAATTTGCCTCTGCAGGTGTGGAGAGCGTGCTTGAATTACTTAGGGTGCATGAGAGAGCAAATTATTTAGGCAATAGAGCTGAAAATGTGGGCAAATTAGAATTTTTCATAGCAAGATTGTGCATTGTTAAGCCAATTCATGATTATATGTGTGTGTCTTGCTTCAGATATTCTGCTACACAATAAACCTCTTTGCTGCGATGAATATGTATGGGGACTAATTTAATCAATATACTTGTGACAGTAGTGGTGTCTGACAGAACTCATCCTTTGAAATTCTGGCTGAGTTAATCTGTGCAGTATATATATGGGCCAAGATTCATAATTTGTGTTAAAAGAAGATTATTTTGAAAAGAAACAACGCTGCCTGTTAGAAAATGAAAAAAGCCTGGGGGATAGAAAGCAAAGGGCAAAGGGACTTTTGTCCTTTTCCCTCTTATTGGTCTGAAAACTCAAATTTAAGGAACTAAACTGCTCTTTTTGAAAAAATATGGCAAGGCATTTTTTTTTCTCATTGATACATTTGAATTCTGTAAATTGACTAAAAGGTGGAGGGAAGTAGCTTTTATGCATTGTTGGATTAAATGGAAGATTGAGTAAGTGCCCTGGTCGAATCTGCAAATGTTTGCTTTCTGGAAATATCAACACATGTGATCAGATCACATTCAGAGAGTTTGCTTTTTGGAGCAGGTGGATTTTAATCATTTCCTAAAGAGCACTTGCAACTGAAATTGTCTTCTGAGATAAGAGAGGCAACCCAGAGGGTAAGCTAGTCGAATAGTTGCATCTGACCAATCAGAATACTTGAACTTTGCTTTGGAGAACCCTCCCGTCACCTTACCATGAGATTCCTGGTGAAGCTTTTCTAATTCCCATTCTTTGGCCAACATTGTCCACGGGAGCTAAGCACAAACACAGTGGGGGTTAAAGGTCTAGGCCAATGGCCCCTGCTTGAAAATACAGGTCAGTCTACAGTGAGTCCATTCATACTAAGCACCTTGGCCTCCATAAATCTTGGGAAATACGTCTCAGCTTGAGTGCCCTCCAGATGCGAAGACCCTGGGAGCTGAAGGAAGGCTGAGTTTGGAAGCCTGACTCAGGCCAGCAGTCCTATGCAGTATTAGGCACCAAACTCTGGGTCTGTGCTACAGTGACCCTCCTGGCTTCCCCTCCACCACCACCTTCCGCCCCCACAGCCAGGCCATGAGTCATTCCAAGGGTGGAGATGCCAGGCTAGGATCCCAGGGCCACCGCCATCATGAACAGACCCCTCCATGCCAGATCTCCATATCACTTGTAGGATTGCAGGAAGCCACTGACAGGCATTTTGGTCCTGTCTTAAACATCATCATTTCACTTCTCATGAATAATCCACTATGAGCCCAGGCAGAATGAACAGCAATACGTTATTCTCCATCCGATCCAGATAGTTTTACTCAGCATTCCCAATATGGTCTGCCCAGGGCCTTCATATCTTACAAAGAACTAAATAGAGGTGCTTGATCTCTCCATTGTTAAGCTGGAAGGAAGGTAAATCTTGAAAGGCCCAAGTTCAGCACTGAGGTTGCTTTAATTGCCTCACATCGTTTTGATGCTGACTTAAACTACAGGGTTTAGCGAAGTTTGTCTGTGTCTGATTTCTGTGATTACGGCTTGAGGTGAGACATAAGCAGAAGCAACTCAGTGTCGGTCTTTTTATTTCACATATAAATTTTGCTTAATAGATGGTCCAAGTACTTTATGTTGCCTAATTATTCTATTCCTTAGGGGTTAGGGTGGGGGAGGCTGCTTCTCATTACAGACTAGTTAATTCCTGTGGGAAAATCCAGGCCATCACTCTCAGCTGATAACACCTTTCAGAATGTCTGTACCACCGCTTGGCTTTTGTGTCTCAGAAGTGTTGGACGTAACTCTATCTAGAGCTACAGACAATATTTGACACAAAACTTGGCCTTGACTATATTAAAAAATATCAGAGGGGCCATCAATGTGAAGCATTATTAGAGTTCAGATTTCATAAAGAAGTTCCTTGAAGAAGTCAAACAAGACACTAAGATGAGGCAGACTTAGAAATTATCATTTTTGTTAAATGTGACCTTATAACACATTAAGCTGCAGAACTCAGAATGGACAGTATACAAAGAAACCATTATTGAGGTATTAGAAACCTACCCATTACAGAAAATATATCGGATGTAAGATTTTGAACAATCTCTAACTCTGGACAATGAAGCTCACTATGTCAACACTAAAAGTGATTGACATGAGGGGCGCCTGGGTGGCACGGTCGGTTAAGCGTCTGACTCTTGGTTTCGGCTCAGGTTGTGATCACAGGATCGTGAGATCTAGCCCCGTGTCAGGCTTCGCACTCAGCGTGGAGTCTGCTTAAGACTCTCTCTCCCTTCTTTCCCTCTCCCTCTGCCCCTCCCCTCCCCTCCGCGCTCGCTCACTCTCTCTCTCTCTCCCCCCACTCTCTAAAATAGATAAATAAGTCTTTTTTTAAAAAGTGATAGACATGAAAAGGGACTCTCCTTCTAGAATAGCTTGCACTCCCTAAAAGTCACCAGAGTACTTGTACTGGTCCCCTTGAAAGGAAGTTAGCAGGTACACATGGTTTATAATGAGGTTAAATACAGTAATTTAATGTATACTGTTTCTGAGTATTGAATGCAAACATCGCATCAAATCCAAAGTAAGTGGTTGTGGAAATTATTCCAGGATATGGGATTACACCGGAAGAAAGAGCGGGCTGTATGTATGTGTGTGTTACTTACATTGTGCAACATATTCCTTGTTGATAAGTCATTGCTATGTGTAAGGCCTGGGGTTAGGTAGGGGCTATATGAAAATGAAGTATACTTACGCTCTTACAGTTGTGTTTGTGTGTGTGATTAAGTAATCTGACATGATATCCGTAGTGAAAACCATGAAAAATAAAACTTAGTGTAATGGAACATTCCGGGTACCCTGGTGAACGTTGCCATCCTGTGTATACAGCTCAGTATTGGTCTTCTTTATTTCACATGTAAATTATATTTAATAGGTGGGCCAAGAACTTTGTTTTGCCTAATTATTCCTGAGGTTGTTTTTTTAATCCTTAATTATGTTCTTCCCAACCAACTGTGCCCAAGGTATATTGGGTTTGCTTAGAAATGTGCTTTGTCATATTTGAGAACTTTGGTGTGATATCTGTTAGTTTTTGGGTGGTCTTCCAACATGAAGCATCTTCAAATGATCAGTTGGTTAGAAATGTATGCACACTATACCAGTCAGTTTCCAACATAAAGAACAGAGAAACTGCATATACTATTCATCAGGATTCACCATTATTAAATTCAGATAGGATATTAACTTTATGGTTGAAAGGTTTTGATCGTACACAAATGGACTGATTTTCAACACATGCCAACTACATTAATTAAAAAAGATAATTAAGGCATTCTTAACTTGCCAGCAAATGTAACTTATTAATATTCTGAATTGAATCATTTTCCTAAGTAGTCTTGACTTTTTGGAGTATATTTTTTTCCCTACCAGTGGAGCTACAATGCTCAGCCAAGACAGATTTATGACCTTTTAAAAATAATGATGGAAAATGAGATCGGAGGAAACATTTTAGTATCTGCTTTGCTCTGAGGCCTAAACTGCGAGCTCTCCAGTTCTTGAAGGCTTTGAAATGCTGATTCCAGTCTTCTTGTGGGTTCTTAAACACCTTCTCAAATGACCCATTTTAATAACCCGAAAGCTATTATATAACGAGCAGCCATAATTTAGTCCAGGGCTCTAGGGGGACCCTCACAGTTCAGCAATGAATAGTTAATGCAGTATAATGTTTAGCAGGTTATTAGTTTTCACTATACAAATGCTGATCAGGGAACGCTTTTATAAGGTGTTTAAAAGAAAATGTAATTAACTGGTTGCGTGCTTCTGTTGCAGCTCAAATTGAAATTATTCCTTGCAAGATCTGTGGAGACAAATCATCAGGAATCCATTATGGTGTCATTACATGTGAAGGCTGCAAGGTAAGCCTTTTTAATTGTTGTTGTTGTTTCTATTAATGTTAGAATGTATCTTTGTGATGTGACTTCTACTATGTCTGAAAATTCAGCTCCTCGGCATTTTGAGTGAAGAGAGATGACAGGACAGGGTAAATATTTTGGTGTTAAATTACAATTAAGAAAGTCATATATATTTTTATGTCTTCCATCAAAATAGCAGGAGGCTAGAGAAGAATATTTGAACATTGCTTGTTTGTCACCTCCAATTCTGGATTTGATGGAACTGATGAACAATCCCTTTGGTTATCTTTTTTAAAAAAGAAATGATTCTAGATTTCTGTAGTGTCGCTATTACAAGCTTTTTGTAAGAAGGTATTTCCAATAGTTTAATCAGAATGTGATTGAAAGTCTTATTGTTGGCACACATATGTTGTTACATCTGGCCAAATTATGAGAAAGCCATTGGAAAGAACTGGGTTCTGGTCCTAGTGCCACCACATGTCCCACTTGTTGGGGGCTTGTCTTAATCTTTTAGTGACTCAGTTTCTTCATCTATAAAGTAGGCATAACACCTGTTCTTCCTACCTCTTAGAACTATTCCGGGGATAGAATGAAAAACTGTAAATAAAAGTCCTTATAAACGGAAAAGTGCCATTTAAACCTAAGTATTATCCTTCTTACTGCTGTTGATACCATTTTAATTATTACTGATGCTGATCGAGGGCAATGCATTACAGCACATGCGTAATTTGGGAATGGGAATAGAGATGTTTATCCTAATCATTCAAGACCTCCAAGCCCAGATTGCCTCTGTTATTCAAATCTCAATTTATTAAGATTTAAATCCTCCTGCTTATATTGGAAGGGCCTTGAGACAGCTTACAGGATAAAACAGTACAAAATAAACAGGCGAGAAGCTATTTAAACATGCAGGCAGCTTCTGAGACAGCTGATTGCCACTGAACCAGGCCTGAATTAGCCCTAAGGCATTTTGAGACTGCACCAAAAAAAGTAAGTAAGTAAATAAATAAATAAATAAATAAATAAATAAATAAATAAAATCCACGCATTTGGTTAGCTTTCCTTCGGTGAAATTAGAAAATATAATGTCATAAAATACAAAATCACCATCAGACACAAATAACTACTGAGAGACTTCAGGGAAATTTGCCTTGTAGTTTCCTTAAGTCTTTGTTTTACTGTTAATCATCGTAATGTGAGGCTTTGTACATGTACAGATGCTTCATATTGGTTCCATCTTGGTGACACTCGAGCTTTCTGCACGCCGCCAAACACACTCTTTTTCTTTGTCATTACCTGCCTTTTAGAAATAGGGGGCTTGCCACTTAAAGAGGATTTTGAATTGTTCATCTTATAGCAACCCTCAAGGCCTCAGGTTCTGGATTACCAAGAAAAAAAAAAAAATGACGTCCTTTTACTTCCTCAGCTTGCCCTCCCTCAAAATTAATCAATTAAGTAAATAAAAGTCCACAAAATGAAATCAGCTGCCTGGCTTATGCCATCCTGGGACAACTGTCATCCCGTTGACTTTCAGAGTTAATTCGGCTGATGTGGCTGGGCACCTGTCACCCACCCTTCCCCCTCACCCAAACCTTCTCGTCCTGGTCCAAGATGGCACAGCCTTTCTTGGTGAAGGGCATACAGACCACAGTGCCCCTCCCCCCCCTTCCCCAGCAGAAGCTCCAGGCAAACTTGATTCTGTGCATTGCATCTCGCCTAGTTATGTTCTTCAGTGGGCAGGGTCCTGGGCATTCACCACATGTCCTTTCATTCTGTCCTGAGAAACTGACCACTCTCTCTGCGTCTTCTAGGAATGCTACGTGTGGTTTTAGGTGCTGACTAAAGCGAGCACCTCAGATCGGCGTCTGAGGCTGGGCCAGGGTTGGGGTGAGGTCTCCTTTGTGCAAAATAACGCACCAGTGCAGAAGATTCATGAATAACATGCTGTTCAATAAAATCTGGACTGTCTGAGAACTGCTGGGTTCACACACTGCAGAAACAGTGTGTGTTTTCTTTTACCCCCAATGTTTATTTATGACAAAAATTAAAGCCATAAGAACACAAGGGGCAGCTATTATTTTATCATTGTCATTTTTCTAGATCCCCGCCCCAATCTTGTACAGCCCCGATGCCAAAGTGTATTTTGGTTATCTGTGGCTCTTTCTTCTGTCCTATTGACTTTATACAACGGAAATCACCAGACAATTAAAACTTAATTTTATTGACAGATTGAGCCTAGGCCCAGTCTGGGACCTATACAGTGGTGTGTGTTTATATTTGATGCATATAGTATTTGGTCTGCAATTATAGTTTCCCTCTGCTATAATTAATATTTTCACTTCTGGCTGTGGTGAAATCAAGAGACTTCTGCTTTTGCCGTTGATGTTAATGATTTATCATGCTCTAACCAGGTGAGGGTGGTTATAGCATCATAAATTACAAATAATTTATCTCGGTGATAGGATCACTAGACATTTGGAAAATTTCTAATTATATATATGTAAATAGATATCTAATGAAAAGAAAGAAAGTGACTCAGTCATTTTCTGAGCTAATCATTTTATGAATGTATTTTATTTATTTTTTTTATTTTTAGATTTTATTTATTTATTTGACAGAGAGAGAGAGATAGTGAGAGCAGGAACACAAGCAGGGGGAGTGGGAGAGGGAGAAGCAAGCTTCCCGCGGAGCAGGGAGCCCAGTGCGGGGCTCGATCCCAGGACCCTGGGATCATGACCTGAGCTGAAGGCAGACGCTTAACCGACTGAGCCACCCAGGCGCCCCTTTATGAATGTATTTTAAATTGCATTTTAAAATCAACCACCTGAAACCCTAAGAAACCAAAGAACCTATTTAATTGCTGAAATGATGATTTATTTTACCACATATTTGCTCGGGTAAACATTGCACATAAACCGCAAAAATGATGCCAGTTTGGTAGCTCTTTTCTCTGGTTTCTGGGTATTCCCAGCCCACCCTCTCCAAGTCCCCTTTGCTACCTATAGAGAGACAGTATTGTGAAATGCTTATGCTCTGACTTTGGAACCAGACTGCCTGGGTTTGAATCCTAGTTCTGCTTTACCAGCCTGAGCACCTGCCCAACCTCTCTGTGCCTCTGTTTCCCCATCTGTAAAATGAGGTGGACATTGTAGTTACTTCCCAGGGTTATCATACATTTAGGTAAAGCACGGAGAAAAGTGCCAGGCATGTAACAATCGTTCAGTAACTGTTGGCTGTTGTTACAGTCATTGCTAGCCAAATTCCATACAGCTTGAGTCATGCTGCTCTAGTCAGATATCATTTCCAGAACATATATGGGTCCAGTCTTGATTTTTTTGTGACCATTTGCTTATTTGTCATGTAGACTCTTCTACTAAAAACAAAAATATGAGCACCCCCTTGGGGCCAGGCACTATATAAGCACTGTAAGGGATCCAGAGACATAGAAGACCTGAGCCACCTCAAGCAGTTCATGGTCTAGTTGTAGAGATGAGGTCTGCAAAGGAGCAATGCAAGAACTAAACCCTAGGTTTAATAAACCAGAAAAAAATTTTAAAAGGGAGGGGGTGGTTCAGAAAGAGATCCATGCATTTAAGGTCAATTAAATTTTGACAAAGATGCCAGTTGAATTCAATGAAGAAAAGATAGTTATTTCAAATAATATTGCTGGAACAACTGGACATTCATATGAAAAAAAATGAACTTCACATTTATACCTCTCACTGAAAGTAAATATTAACTTAAAGAATATCCTAAGCATAAAGCGTAACTCTATAATATTTCTAGAGGAAATCATATATTTTTGTAACAATAGACATACAAATATTTCTCAGACCACACACTGAAGTCCTTACCTTATTTTATTTTTATTTTTTTTAAGATTTTATTTGACAGAGAGAGATACAGCAAGAGAGGGAACACAAGCAGGGGGAGTGGGAGAGGGAGAAGCAGGCTTCCCGCGGAGCAGGGAGCCCGATGCGGGGCTCGATCCCAGGACTCTGGGATCACGACCCGAGCTGAAGGCAGACGCTTAGCGACTGAGCCACCCAGGCGCCCTTATCCTTACCTTATTTTAAAAAATAACAAATTGGACTTAATCAAAATTAAAAACTTGTACCCTTCAAAAGGTATCATTAGTAAAAAGAAAAGGCAAGCCATATACTGGAAGAAATAAAACAAAAAAATAAATTTTAAAATAAAAGGACAAAAACAATAAAAAGGAACAATAACTTGAACAATCTCGTCACAAAAGCTGGACAAGGAACCAGTGAACATGTGGATATATTCTCAACATCTTTAATCATTAGGGAAATGTAAATAAAACCACAGTGAAATACCATGACATATTCATCTGAAAGGCTAAAATTAAAATAGAACAAAACATGAAGAAGAAGAACAAAAACACTGCCTAGAACAAACATGATGAAGATTCAGAGAAACTGGTGAATTTTTCAGTCTCCTACATTACAGGGGGCAGGGGGGCTGTGACATGGGACAGCCCCTTTGAAAAAAGGTGGAAAATAGGATAAGTTATTAGCCCCACATATGACCTAATGGCCCATCCTAGGTATTTACCCAAAAGAAACAAAACACCTGTCCTAGAAAGACTTTTATATGAATATTTGTAGTACCTTTATTCATAATGGCCATCAGCTAGAAACAACCCAAATGCCCATCAACTGAAAAATGGATAAAAGTGTGTGGTGGATGGTTGAATAAGATCCATGGAATGGAATGCTGCTTAGCAATAAGAGAGGATGTACTATATGTGCACAAAACAACATGATGATGAATGAAAGAAACCAGAAACAGAAGAATAATTAATGTATAACTGCACTTATATGTCATTCTAGAAGAAGCAAAACTTTTAAAGCTATAATGGCAGAAAGCAGATGTGGTAACCTGGAACCGCGGTAAGGTATCACCATTACTGAGAGGGACACTTTTTGTGGCTTGTGGCAATGTTCCGTCTTGATTGTGGTGGTAGTTCCACAGGTGTACAC